AAAAAAAATGACAGGCAACCCTCAATTTACGACGGTTCGTTTAGTGACCGGAAGTGACAAATGCACTGAAAAAAAAGGACCATTTTTTTCACACTCGACAACCGTGGCAGCCACCCCCCCACGGCCATGCGATCAAAATTCAGATGCCTGGCAAAGGGGTTCGTATTTATGACGGTTGCTAAGTGTCCTCCAAGGGGTCAGCCATCATCCCCTTTCTGACCAGGTTTGCTTAACAACCGTGGTCCTAACAATGTACCGCTTCCCTTAAAGCCAGGGCGGCCAGAAAGGGGCGAAGCTCACTTAATAACGGTCTCGCTTAAGGAAGGGAAATTCTGGGGCTCAACCTGCGGTCGTAAGTCGAGGGATACCTGGAAGAGGCCCCGGGGGACTGAGAATCTCTGCTTTGTCTGTCTACCTGGAAGGACTGGTTGGGGAAATATTTAGGAGGGTCCCCTCCAGCTAACCGAACCTGCCTGCTGTGTCTATGAACAATTGCAGATTTACAGATTAACAGAGCTGGAAGGGACCTTGCAGGTCATCTAGTCCACCCCCCCCCCCCCCCGCCCGAGCAGGGGGAGACCCTACACCATGTCTGACAGGCGGCAGCCCGGTCTCTTCTGGAAAGCCTCCAGGGATGGAGCCCCCATAACTTCTGACGGCAACTTCTCTCCCATTGAATATAGAATAACAGAGTTGGAAGGGACCCTTCTAGGTCATCTAGTCCAACCCCTTATCCAAGCAGGAGACCCTACGCCATTTCTGACAGACAGAGGGCAGTCCAGTCTCTTCTGGAAAGCCTCCAGGGATGGAGCCCCCATAACTTCTGAAGGCAACTTCTCCCCCATCGAATATAGAGTTGGAAGGGACCTTGTAGGTCATCTAGTCCAACCCTCTGCCCAAGCAAGAGACCCTACACCATTTCTGAGAGATGCCAGTCCAATCTCTTCTTGAAAACCTCCAGGGATGAAGTTCCCACAACCTCCGAAGGCAACTTCTGTTCCACGGGTTGATTGTTCTATTAGAAAATTCTTCCTTATTTCCAGGTTGAATCTCTCCTGGATCAGTTTCCATCCATTATTCCTTGTCTGGCCTTTGGGTGCCTTGGAAAATAGCTTGACCCGCTTCCTCCTCCCTGTTATCAACCGGCTGTTTGGCCATATAACAGGGAGCATTTTATGGAGAGACCTGGAATAAGAGACCACACCAAGATACCGCCCCCCCGCAAGCAAAATAAGATTTTTCCATGGGACTCAAACCACACACACACACACACACACACACCCCAAAAGCTGAAACCTCGCACACCAAATATTTGAATAAAGGAAGTGTCACATATCCAACCGGATGATGAATTAGAATCTGCCATTTCTGGGGCCACTTAGGGTCAAGATGGGAAAACATTTCAGATTATTCATTGTTTCCTTCCTCTCTCGACCACGCTTGCAAAAAAAATAAAATAAAATAAAGACACCAAAACCAGGTTGGCGAAGAGCCTCTCGCATGTCCCTGCAAACCGTGATTTACACGATCTCTGGAAAAATCCAGGTTTCCATCCTGTGCGAAAGTTTTTTTTTCCCCCCTCTTCCGTAAAGGGAAGAAGAAGAAGAAGAAAAAAAGAAGAAGAAGAAAAAGAAGAAGAAAAGAAGAAGAAAAGAAGAAGAAGAAGAAGAAGAAGAAGAAGAAGAAGAAGAAGAAGAAGAAGAAGAAGAAGAAGAAGAAGAAGAAGAAGAAAAAAAAAAAAAAAAAAAAAGGGGGATTTTTTTCGATTGGTAAACCAAACGGAGGGGGGGGGGGAAGCAGTGTTCATGCCACACAAACACAGCCTGCAGCTTGCAAAGAGCACAAGCCAAGAGGGAGGTTTTGGCTCGGGGAGGGGGGTCCAAAACCTGAAAATTTCGTGAGCATTTCTGTTTTGGAGCATCAAATGCAGAACTCCCCCCCCTCCCCGCCTCCCTTTGCACAGGTGTTGTGCATGCAAATATTGGAGGTGAGCAATTGAACCAGCACTGATGTCAAGAAACTTTCCGTTGGGATTTTGGAAAACACTCGGAGTTGGGGGTCTCTGGAGAGGGATGGACTGTCCCAACCATCATCCTCTGCCTAGTTTGAGTTGGGGGTCTCTGGAGAGGGCTGGACTACCCCACCCATCATCCTCAGCCTAGTTTGAGTTGGGGGTCTCTGGAGAGGGAGGGACTGTCCCACCCATCATCCTCGGCCTAGTTTGAGTTGGGGGTCTCTGGAGAGGGATGGACTGTCCCACCCATCATCCTCTGCCTAGTTTGAGTTGGGGGTCTCTGGAGAGGGATGGACTGTCCCA